GCCTTTGTCGTAGGCTGTAATTAAATTTAATGTACTGTATGTCAGTACCGCTTCTGTATATCAGCATCCACTACTGTATGCCAGCATCCGCTTCTGTAAGTCAGCATCCGCTACTGTATGCCCGAATCCGCGTCTGTATATCAGCAACCGATTCTGAAAGTCAGCATCTGCTACCATATGCCTGCAACCGCTTCTGTATGTCAGCAACCACTTCTGTATGTCAGCAACCGCTTCTGTATGCCAGCATCCACGTTTCATTGTAAGCCGGCATCCGCTTCTAGATGTCAGCAACCGTTTCTTTATGCCCAAAACCACTTCTTAATGTCAGCAACCGCTTTTTTATCATAGCTTCCTTTTCTGTATGTAAGCATCCACTTCTGTAAGTAAGCATTTGCTCTTGTATGTCAGCATCCGCTTATGTAAGTCAGCATCCGCCCCTATATGTCAGCATCCACTTCTGTATGTCAGCAACGGATTTTGTATGTCAGCACCCGCTACTGTACGTCAGCATTCGATACCGTATGTCAGCATTCGCTTCTATGTGTCAGCATTTACGTCTGTATGTCAACATTTGTTTTTGTATTTTTGTATGCCAGTACTTGCTTTTTTATTTCAGCATTTGTTTTTTTAGGTCAGCATATGATTCCGTAGGTCAGCATCTGCTTCTTTATTTTAGCATATACTTCAGTAGGTCAATATCCATTTTGTCAGCATCCGAAACTGTATGTCAGCATTTGCTACTGTATGTCATCATCCATTACTATATGTCGGCACTTGCTACTGGCTGTCAGCACTTTCTTCTGTATTACAGCATCCACTACTATATGTCAGCATTCGCTACTGTATGTCAGCATTCGCTACTGTATGTCAGCATTCGCTACTGTATGTCAGCATCCAATACCGTAAGTCAACATCCACGACTGTATGTCAGTATCCGCTACTGTATGTCAGCATCCGCTACTGTATGACAGCATCCACTACTGTATGTCAGCATTCACTACTGTATGCCAGCATCCACTACTGTATGTCAGCATTCACTACTGTATGTCAGCATTCGCTTCTGTATGTCAGCATTCACTACTGTATGTCAGCATCCACTACTGTATGTCAGCATTCACTACTGTATGTCAGCATCCACTACTGTATGCCAGCATCCACTACTGTATGTCAGCATCCGCTACTGTATGACAGCATCCACTACTGTATGACAGCATCCACTACTATATGTCAGCATCCGCTACTGTATGACAGCATCCAATACTGTATGTCAGCATTCACTACTGTATGTCAGCATCCGCTACTGTATGTCAGCATTCGCTACTGTATGTCAGCATTCACTACTGTATGTCAGCATCCACTACTGTATGCCAGCATTCACTACTGTATGCCAGCATCCACTACTGTATGTCAGCATTCACTACTGTATGTCAGCATCCACTACTGTATGCCAGCATTCACTACTGTATGTCAGCATTCACTACTGTATGTCAGCATTCACTACTGTATATCAACAACCGGCTACTTTATGTCAGCATTAGCTACTGTATGTCAGCAACCGCTTCTCTAGGTCATAGGTCAGCATACATTTTGATAAACTTGATGATACATAACCGTCATAACTATGGCGTTATCTTATGACCTTATAAACTCGGGGATTGTGTTTGATTTACATACATTTGTTTTGTATTTTGGTCGTTTTCTTATTATAATAAATTATGTCTTTCTTTATTCATTCATTTACATTTTATGGAAAAGGGGTAACGTTAAGATAAATTATATGTTCTTTTTTCACCAGATTGTTCTGATATACTTTGAAATACAAGAGATGAAATAGTCGTGAAAATGACACAATTAATTGATATTTAAATTTAAATATGAGGTCATTTTTATCGTCATTGAACTATTTTATTAAGGATGTTAAAAAACTAATAAAGAGGTTCGTTAAGCGTGGAAAATATTGTTCCTTCTTCCTAACAGTTTATCATAGATAAAAGTGCATGTTCTCGACAATTTCTTTTATTACAGTCCTTTAACTACGTTACCGTCAAGTTTTTCTTAGAGATATTATCAAACTTTCTTATCTTTCTATTACTATATATCAGTCAGTTTATGGGCTCGGGTACATGAAACGCGTTTGATTCGATTTTATTTAATATAACGGCCATTTTCTGAGGAAGTGGTATGTTGAGCCGTCCATAATTAATATTAAACACGTGTGTATGGTATATTTTATAGAACAATAAACATTTCTGCATTTAAATTCTCGTTATTTTGTTTATTTTATCCTAAACTGTATATTTGTGTGACATTGATTGAGTTATAAAACTTCACGAAACTAACGAAAGGCAAAAACAGACAGACAGACACTATTTTCCAGTAGAGTGCTATAGTTCCAAACAGTTCTTTTGGAACGACTCGATAGTAGAATCGACCTTACCATTTCTAAATCGTGTCATCATGTTACCAGTGTAGGTTTTCATAAGCCTAGATCTGTTCGACTTTCCGTCCATGGCAATATGGTGCCCGCAGTAATTTTCATTGAAGCGTTTTCAAAATACTTTGGTCAATTGTTAATTCATTGAGATGACATACAGAGCTTTAATTTCAAATGCTAAATTATAGCGAATTGTCGAACAGGTATTTAAGAAAAGATTGCCAATTGCTTTATCTCTTATGTAAGTCACCCTTAAAGTATTGAATTATGAAAAATGATTGTTCTTACTGTATTTAGCATCATTATTATATTGTTATTTGTTTTTACCACTTACAACATTTAAAATTGAGCATGGATTTCAAACAGTTGTTTTGTTGTTGTTGTTGTTGTTGTTGTTGTTGTTGTTTTGTATATTTTGTTGTTCTTCTTCTTTTTGTGGAAGTTGTTTTGTTGCTGTTGCTGTTGCTTTGTTTGTTTTGTTGTTGTTGTTGTTGTTGTTTTTTTTGTTTTTTTCATAATTTTAATTTTTTATGTTTTGTCGATTTTGTTGTTGTTGTTTCGTTAAAGTTTTATTTCAAGAAAATACATCGCCAATATCTTGTTACCGTGGGAAAATGCTGCATGTACTTGGCAATCTAGATTTAGATTCAGGGCAAAATTTTATTAAATCTTTCTGTAATGATTGGGTAAAACTGCAGACTTAGCTCTTTCTGAATATTTATCTGCTTATCTCTCCTGTGTTGTGCAGAAATTCATCTAGCAAAGAGATTATACTGCTACAGAGCTAACGTTTTCATGGTAGTTCTTGTTATTTATTCTAGTATTCCAACGTGAGCAGTCGTATGACGTTAAGCCAATATGAATATGTAGGTGTGATGAAGGGAAATAATTGTTTATCAATAATCATAAAGGTCCTTTATTTCCTACTTATATCACTATGCACAGATAGATGCATATCAGAATAAGCTTCTTAAAAAGATCAACGATTTTTACAACAAAGATATAAATAAGGCAGCTTGTGTGTGTCATCTTTATCGAACAATAATTCTTCTTCAGTGTAAAACATATCATTAGCTATTTAAAGCCCAAAATACATGTACAGTAATTACTAAAATCATTGTAAAGTCACGGTTTTTTCATAAATGAATTAATATGTTCGAAAAGAGATTAAATAGAGTTGCCTTCTGTTAAATGCACATCAATTATATAACAACACAGGTGTAAGTGTTCCCGTACCTTACAAAATTTGAATTTATATTTTGCTCAGTAGGTTGAGCGATGATTTCACCATGCGCAATCTACGAAAGCCTAATAGGGTCAAATAAAATTTAAAACAAGAGCGATTAGTTATCACATGTGTCGCCACATGATGGCCAATTTCATGTTGGGACAAATTTTGTGACAGACGGACAAACAGACGGACAGTGCACAACTAGACTTGGTACTGATCATTCCTGTAAAGTTTGGATAAAATTGCACCAGTAGTTTATGAGGAGTAGTCCGGACAAGCTTTTGTGTATCTGGCAAAATACAGAAAAAACACCTTTTTATCAAAGGGCCATAACTCGGCCAAAAATCATTCAACCAGTAAACCCGTGCAATATGCGCAAGGACTTGGGCTACAAATTAATCCTGTAAAATATCATTGAAATTGCATTAGTGGTATAAGAGAAGTAGTCCGGACAATCTTTAAAAATAAAAAAATGTTAAAGGGCCATAACTCTGACAAAAATCATTGAACCGGAAATGCTGACAATATGCACAACTTAACTTGGTACTAATCATTCCTGTAAAGTGTGGATGAAATTGCACCAGTAGTTTATGAGTAGTAGTCCGGACAAGCTTTTGTGTATCTGGCAACACACAGAAAAACACCTTTTTTATCAAAGGGCTATAACTCTGCCAAAAATCATTCAACAGGAAAACCCGTGCAATATGCACAAGGACTTGAGCGACAGATAAATCCTGTAAAGTTTCATTGAAATTGCATAAGTGGTATAAGAGAAGTAGTCCGGACAAACTTTAAAATTAAAAATTATTTCTTATTTCTTCTTCATAAGTATCATAGATATATTGCAAGTAAAGGCAGATTTTGCAGATTAACCTTTGCCACATATCTTTTTAAAGATACTTCTTGTTATTTTTGTTTCTATCTTAATTGGTCTTCTTGATATGCCAATAGCACTAAGAAGCAAGTCATAACAGTACATATATAAAGTCGCAACATCTTAGCACAAAAATCAAAAGTGAGTCTTTGAATTGGCTTTATGATTTGTCCCCTTATTCTAACAAAGGTATCTGTATTTTTTTTATATTTTCAATAAATATGAAATTATGAGAATATATCTGTAAAATATCTTTCATGTATTCTATACTATTATGGATTATACTTGTTTCAATTAAATCATTTCATGATTAATTATTCAATTTTTAATTTTGACACACTCATCAGTTTATTTGTGTTTATTTTGGTGTGTGATATGCAATATTATTTACTTTTTAATTGCTATAAACCTTTGTTGCTGCAAATTCTCTTAGATAAAAAGCATAATTTTACATATTTCAGAGACAGTAGCCTTTAATGTGATGGATGCAGTAAGCTACACTGGTAGAGAAGCCATTAAATTCTCAAATATTGTACTGAACAAAGGCGACTCGTACGACAACGATACGGGGAATTTCACAGCGCCCATTGCCGGGATTTATCAGTTTAATGCGCATATTTGCATTAAGAAAGGTATTCGTGAAGTAAATTATTACATAAAGGTTGGCAATAAATCGATAGTTACCGGAGAGTTCTTTGTACCTATTGAAGCCGAAGATAGAAAATGCACGTCCTTCAGCGCAGCTGCGTTGGTTCCAAAAGGAGACAGTGTTCGAGTTGGTGGAATGCTTGAATCTTCTTTAGATGAAAGTGATAATGACCAATGTTCTTTTTCTGGCACTTTGATACAAAATGTTTAGCAAAAATTGTGCGATTACAATATACTTTAGATTCATTGTTCTGTGATTATCAAATAACATGAAACGTATATTCCTGTTGAAAACGTTATTAAAACAAATGACTCTCATAAATTATGTATTTAAAGGATAATAAAATCATACAAGACCAAGTCCAATCCAACACATCTTCTTTAACTTCAATTATTATTATATGTTTAATAGCTTTTTAGATATTTTAGAATAACTTGTGTTAGAAATATGTGGTACTTAAAAAACCCAGTATGACACAATATGCTTTTATCTTTATTTCTCAAAAAGGTTTTAATTATAGTGTCCTATTCTAGTTCCAAAAGAGTTAGTTACTCACTAGTTAGTTACTTTAATCATCATTTTGTTTTATATTACATGTCACCCGCTCTTCATATTATTTAAAATAAATCACTTATCCTTCATACAAAATATTCTTTCAGTTATATTTTTGAAATTTAAATTGAAACTGACCTCTGTTTGGACAAGAAACTGCAACAAACTGTACATCCAGATGACGGAAAGCAGATTGTTTGTTATCGAAGCAAAAATGTCAAAATATGAACATTTTAAAGCTATATTTCAATTTCTTTAAACTAGTTTACGTATTTGAAGAGGTATTTAAAAGAATAATTCAACGATAGATTTTCTGTTATCTTCTGGAGGCATGCTGCAATTTGAAAGAATTATAAAACATTACTGTGCATGTACAGCGTTATGAAATAAATCACAATGAAACTATTAAGCATGTTTAAGCATATAATTATTTCAGAATCCATCAACGAATTACAAATTTATATTGAAGACACAACCATCTATTCACAATCGTGTTTTTTGTCGTCCAAGTGTGATATTGACCTATTTAGTTAGCCGGTTTTATATCTTTTAACTGATCAGTTCACGATCATCTCGACTTCAACTCGAGCATTATCCGATCGCAACCCGATCAACTCGACCTCTGTTCGATCTGTTGTCCAGAATAACTAGACTACAACCAGACTGAAAAACGACGCAGATAGTTATTTGGCAATTCATGAGTTTAGGTCACAACAATATATAGATGTAAAATGATTGTGGTTGTCTAATTAGCTTTTACAAATCTAAAGACACATATTCTGACAAGAATAATGTCTAGAAAGAGCAAAACGGCGTCATGTAGTAAGAGTAGTACATGTGCGGTGGAGCAAGAAGTAAGCACAGATCCACCTGAGGAGATACCTATTGAAACGGAAGAACGTGTGCTAGAAAATACTGCTTCTTCTCGGGAGGAGGAACATGTCATAGTTTAGTTTAGTTGAGATCGTATAGGACTCACATATAGGTCAAGGTGATGAAAGATAATGCGGAATGTTTCGGGCATATCGTTTTCATAATGTATCTATTATTTGTTAAATTGAAAATTTAACATCTGTTAAATGAAAATTTAACTAGTTATACAGATTATTATCTGATACGAAAGTTAACAAAAGTTTTATAGATAAACAGATAATTATATATTATTTAACTGGTATGTGTCGACAGGACACTTTTTGGTGTATTTAGAAGTTAGATACATATTCTTTATTTGTCTATCTTACAAAACAATATCTAGTTAATCTGATTAATATCTGTTCTTAATTGTGCTAACACGGAAACTATCTAGTAAGTCAGGTAGTTATATAATTAACGCGACAATTATACCCCCGCACAACGAAGTTGTTATGGGGCTATACAAGAATCAGCTTGTCCGTCCGTCCGTCGGTTTTTCTTGTCCGCCCAATAACTTAAGATTCCTTTGACCCACAGTCTTCATCTTTGGCACGGAGAGTAGTCATGACCCTTATTGATTTTGATGTCACTGGGTCAAAGGTCAAAGTCACAGGGACCTTGACTATAAAAAGCTTGTCTGCCCAATAACTTAAGATTCCTTTGACCCACAGTCTTCATATTTGGCACGGAGGTTAGTCATGATAAGTAGGTGACCCCTTTTGATTTTGAGGTCACAGAGTCAAAGGTCAAGGTCACAGGGATTTTGACTTCAAAAAAATTGTCCGCCCAATAACTAATAGTGACATTATGTTCATATTTTCATTGTTAAGTTGAGCTTAATTGACTTTATATTTCAAAAGATTGACTGTTAAAATGGTGTTTGACCAACAGTTGATATAAGAAAACGTTTAGGATAAAATTATAAATCTGCCTAAAATATAAAAAGACTATCCCACTCTTTTTATAAACTGAGTGTTAGAGGTAAATTCTAATGGATATTTACAAAAAAAATATTTGGATCTGTGCATTATTTATTGTTTACGGGAAGTACATTATTAAATTAAAAGGAATTATGGCAAAATAAAAACTTATTTTGATATTCGGCTCTTTACTCACTATATACCCTTTGATGGGCATAATGTCACTTTAAGAAACCTTTGACAGTCTTCATATTTGGCATGAAGGTTAGTAATGATTAGTAAATGACTCCTTTTGATTTTGAGGTCACTTGGTCAAAGGCCAAGGTCACAGACTATAAAAAGTTTGTTCGCCCAATAACTTAAGATTTTTTTTACCCACAGTTTTTATATTTGGCATGGATGTTAGTCAAGTTAAGTAGATTTTGAAGTCACTGTGTCAAAGGTCAAGGTCACAGGGGCCTTGACTAAAAAGGTCTGTCCGCCCAATAACTTAAGATTCCTTTGACCCACAGTCTTATTATTTGGCATGGAGGTGTGTCATGACTAGTATGTGATCCCTTTTGATTTTGAGGTCACTGGGTCCAAGGTCAATTCACATGGACTTTGACTTCACAAAGTTTGTCCACCCAATAACTTAAGAAACCTTTGACCCACAGTCTTCATAGTTGGCATGGAGGTTGATCATGAAAATTAAATGACCCCCATTGATTTTGAGGTCACTGGATAAAAGGTCAAGGTCACAGGGACCTTGACTAAAAAGCTTTTCCCCTCAATTGCTGACGAACGTTTTGGTCAACAGTCTTCATATTTGGTATTGTGTTTGTTTATGACTAGTAGATGGCTTCTATTTTAGTTGACTGTGTCAAACGTCAAGGTCACAGGGATTTTAAATATAATAATTTTGTCTGCTCAAATGTTTAAGAATGCCTGTCCGCAGTGTATTGATTTTGACATTTTCACATTTAAAGCATGTAAAATACATAACTTATGCACTGGCTTAGTAACCTAAGATTTGGCAGGGAGGTTGTCCTTGAGCTCTTAATGGCCACTGTTGATTCTGACAAAGTGATATGAGGGGGTATTCACGCCATGACAGTGGCAGTTCTAGTTATATGGTTAACTTTTGGCAGAAATATGGCACCATTACAATTACTAAGTTATGACATACTGGTAACTAATTTTAAGCACCATACTAATGCAAACTTCTCTATTATAATTTTCACATTTTATGAAGTATGTTTTATTATGTATTAATTATCTGAGCGCTTTGTTTATTTGTTTGTTTGTTTCATTTTACGCCTTTTCCCAACAGTATGTTAGTCATATAGGCGGGTAGTTTCCTAACCATCGTTCATGGAGTGTTAAACCAGTAATAGACTACCTTCCTCCGTGCTAAACTACCGGAGACGAGCCCACGCCAGAGAGGTAACTGAATTAGAAGTCATCGACTCTAACCCCTCGACATATACATTCCAAATTTTCGTACTGAGGTGTGTGAAACAAAATGACAGATAGCAAGCCTATATGTGCTTTTTTGGATGCTGTCAAATTTAATATAAAATCTGAAGTGTCAAAGTGAATATCTTGTTTCGCCATTACATGGCTCGGAACTATTTTTCTCAATAAATATAATTTCCTTCTAATCCACTTGATGGATTTTAACGTAACTTAACAGGAATAAAAATAATAGGTGGTCCTCTACAACAGTTATGTAAACGGTTCAAGTCTGATGCATAAATAGGTCACGGGAGCCAATAATATACTTTAACCACATGCCGCTTACTGTGAATAGGTAAGCTGTCACATCTTACCTTGAGGTATGACCTTTCGCTAAGACTTAAACAGTTCTTGCGCGCGACACGCCGTCTCATTATGCTGAATATTTGTGCCATGTTATTTGAAATTCCACCAAATAGTGATATAGTTATGGTGCGGACAAGCAGTTTGAGACCATATTCGTTTTGCAGATGACCTAAAAGTAAGACTTTGGCCTGTGACATAGCAGCACGGTTCATGAGCGCGATACGTCAACTATAATGTTGAACATTTCTGCAAGGTAATTTGAAAATTTTACCGGCTATTGACATGATTGATAGAGTTATGGTGCGGACAAGCTGTTCGATTTTTCTTTGACCTTTAAGTAAGCCCTTGACCTTTGACCTAGAAACACGGTTTTTGCGTACGACACGCCATCTATGATGTTAAACATTTATCCAAGGAAATTTGAAATTCTACTAGCTAGTGATAGAGTCATGGTATGGACAATCTGTTTCAGACCACTTTGTTTTTTGCATTTGACTTCATGATATGACTTTGACTTTTGACACAGACATACGGTTCTTGAGTGCGACACGCCATCACATGATATTGAACATTTGTGCCAGGTTATTTGGATTTGCACTTGCTAGTGACTGCGCTATGGTGCGGACTAGCTCTTTGAAATCATTTTTGTGCAATTGATATTAAATTATGACCTTGACTTTTGACATAGCCACACGGTTCTTGTGCACGACTCGCCATCTTATGACGTTGAGCATTTATGTAAGATTTTTTTGGAATTTCACTTGCTAGTGATAGAGTTATGGTGGGGACAAGCGGTTTATGACATTTTTTGCATCTGACATTTAAGTGTGACCACCTTGACTTTTATCCTAGGTACAAGGTTCGTAAACGTGACACGCCGTCTCATTATTCATAATTGTGAAAATTTGTGCTTATTTATTTATAATTCTCTGCCTACTAATGACAAAGTTACGACCTGGACAGACAAAATCCGAGAGGACGTACGGACGGACACGCGTATATACACCTTACCGCCATTGTTATAGCTATGTCCAGCTCTCCGCAAGCGGTCTTGACAAAAATAGTGATTTGGGAAATTTCTTCCAAAAAAAAAAAGATAAAACAAAACACGGCTTAGATATTTGACCTCTACAAAAGTTATTTAATCAGGCCAACTGGCAACATAGACATGTAAAGGAAAATTCACTTAAGTCTTCTTTCTTCTCAACAAGTATTGTTGATTTATGTTAGCATCTTCTTCTCTATATTCGTTCTTACTAGAGATGAATCTGATCATTTTCCTATATGTTGTACTTTTTTGTTTCATAAAAAGTCTTATAACGCAGATAGCCACAATGCTCAAATGTCATTGAATATTAGAAATAAATGGCGGTTTTTTTTTTCAAAAACAGGTTTGTTTTATAATCATTGCGCATTGATAAAATGCAATCTATTGATAACTCTGTCAATTCTGCGGTCGAATGTATTACTTATAATGAAAGGATGTTGGACAGTGCGTGCTTAAACAATTTTGTTTTTAGTCGTCACAACATCAGTGGCGGAACAGATAAAAGCAAACAAGTACACTGCACTACTTGTGAAGATTTAGATTCAGCGTACTCGTAAATTACAATAGTCTTTGAACCTTTTTCGATTATCTTTGCATATTCTTAAATATCTGGTAAAAAGTGATCCCTTAGAAGCCCTTTTTTATTACTTTACATTTAAATACATACAATTATTACACCATTATTACACGTTGAAGAATTTACTTGGACACTTCATCGTAATCCTGGTAATGACGATTTTTTTACTGTATTTTCAATCATATGTAGCAAGTTTGTGCGACCATTGTGGTAGGCCGATTGCGCCATTTCAAACCCGCGAGAATTTTTATCGTTTTGTCATAAAATCTCGCGGGCAACTTTAAAGCCGCAAGGTGTTCTACCAAAATCGTACAAAATGTCGACAAGGACGTATAAACCTCTCTATTTCATAACAATTGTTGGTAAAAGCAAGGAAATTTCTGAACTCCAATAGCTTGAAGCGTCCATGGTTTGACACAATATTTTGTCCCTCGTTTGTCTTTAAAAAGTCGAGGAACAGTAAGAAATCCGCAACATTTTTTGCAAGTGTTGTAGACATTCTACAAAAAGTCGAGAGGAAAAATTATAGGCCACAACTGTTTGTTCCTCAAAAACGGTCTTATAAAACCTCGCTGCGAATTATATCAATTTTCAGCCACGACTTTTTGTGCAAAATTTTTTTCTCGCCATAAAAAGTTGAGACTTAATGCTTAAACTCAATTTCATTGTCAAGATGATGTCAATGATCCTTTGAGATTATTTTGTTCATAAATGTCATATGAGATGGGCGGCGTAAGGCGTTTTCAAGATTTTGAAAGTGTTCTCAAAATATGTGTAAGTACTTGAAGTATGACTATCAGGTGACAGTGACATCTCCAGCGAATGACTTCTTATAAAAAGTTCTACCATAAGATGTAAAAATCATTTTGGCAAAACATTATACATAATTAAAGTATGTACGAGTAAAATTAGAACGCACATGTGATTTATCACGCAACATTTGCGCATTAGTCACAGTATTTCTCATGATCAAGAAAGTGCCAATTTCAAAGCTACAAGATATTTGAAGTACATTTGCTTGAAACAAATTTCATTGTCAAGATGATGTCAATGATCCTTTAAAAATATTTTGTCCTAAATGTCATATAAGATGGGCGTTGTAAAGCGTTTTCTAGATTTTGAAAGTGTCTTGCTTATAACATTATTAAAAATTCAATATTTCTAAATACTTTTAGTGCTGTCACGTGAATTAGTCCAATAAGTCAAATTTAAGTTCCTACGCAGCGCCATCTCCAGCGAACGCCTCCATATAAAAGGTACTGTTGCAAATAGAAACGAATTTCACATCATTTTCAACCATTTCCCTTTAAACATTACATTCAAAATGGCAAATTTTGACAATTTAATATCAAAATCTTCAGTTTTTCTAGTTCTACTGATATGCCAGTTGAATTTAACTGAAGTAGTGTCCCTGGAACCTATGTGTTCAAAGTTTTCTAATGACGAACAGTTACTCGAGAAAATGGTCCGTGTGGAATTCTACGTGGAAAATGTGCAGAAAGATTCAGAAAAGAGTGTTTCTAATGTTATGGATATGTTACACGACATTCAAGGCAATAATAGCGAATTATCGAACAGATTGTTGGAGCAGAAGGACAAGGTAGACATTTTAGAAAGACAGACGGGTGTTTTAAAAGACACAATGGCAAACGAAATTGTCGTATCTGAGAACAAAGGTGTGCAAAAGTTTATTACGTGTGTTCTCGTCCCATTTATGTGGACTTAAGTTTTGTAAACGTAAAAGCGTGTATATATAGCAGTCTGTTTTAATACAAACCTTTTAAATATATCATATTTAGAACAAATGGAATTTTTATTTACAGATTATTTAAAATAATAATGATGGCCAATTCAAGAAATCAGCTTTGATTAGATGTATGTAGAATAATAATAGTAATGAATGAAATGATAATAAAATTTAAAAAGACGAATAAATACCTATTTAAATAATGCATTATTATTATTAATTTTGTTCATTTTGTATCCTTATAAGGAATTACCCCTAATCTGTTTACGGGGCGATAACAGTTTCTCTGTTTTATATGTGCAACTCTATAACCGACGTACTCTTCAGTATTTTGTCACGTGCGGTCATGCATAGGGTGAAGTTCATTAACAAAATGAAATGATTACATGAATTGGTCCTGCTTCACACAAAATTTATTAATTATAACATTCATCGAATTAAATGCAATGCAGACAAAAAGAAAAAGATAAATACATCAAAAGTACGGAGTCGAATGATTTAAGCGACAACATGGCAAAAAAGCATCGTTTCTGAGAATTTGAGTATGTTTATGTTTACTTAAAATATATAATATCATAAGTTTTGTAATCTTTATACCCGTTTTAAAAGAACTGCTGTACATCACTTGTGAAAGTTCTGTTATTTTTGGTTAGTGTTAGCCCCTAAATTAGTTTTAATAACTGTATGAAAAGTGACTGTCACATATAAGAAGAACTTATCATCAAGACAGTTTGCAGTTTCAGTTAAAAAGTAACTTTCAAGATGTCTGTAACTTAGACATTATAATTTCAACCATGTGAACCCGGTTTAAGCTGGCATGCATTTTGTGTAAGTACAATACGTTAACATTTATTTAATGCAGTATTTGAATACACCCATCTGTAGAATTTAACGTTTAAACGTCATCCTTACAGTCCTTTGTTCTAATTGTATGTCAAATTAATAAAACATAAAAAACATAAAAAAATCGGTATGATTGAAACATTTGTTGCAACATTAAACAGCTTGAAAGTGTTGTGGGGAAGAACGAGTTTTACTAGTGTTTAGTGGTTTTAGCTAAATGAATAGCTGAAACACTAAAATCAAGCTGGCTAGTTATAAGAAAGATGTTTTATTTCAACATCTAATTTTGTTAATCCTTACTGTAATAGTAAGCACAAAACCACCCCACCTTCAACAAATTATATGAAAAATCATATGTTTTCCATTTTCGTTCCTCTCTTTTTGTTCTATTTTATCCATAGTGTGAACTGTTGTATGAAGTTGACCCCATATTTACATTATGTGTGATGTATAAAAAAAAAAGGATTTTGCATTAGTCATCATGAAAGCTCTTTAGTTCCTTTATCTTATTGCTTCTATATAATGAACAAAATTTATCTTACAACAAAGATAAAAGCGTTCCCAAACAATATTTTTTTTTTCTTAGTAGGTTTAGCGATGATTTTAAGCGCTTGTGCAATCCTTTGTACATTAAACAAAACTCTTACAAAAGTTTTCTATCAATTTAGCTACTTAGAAATGATTTTGATCAATATAAGAAATAAAATATACGGATAATATACATAATATCCGGATAATATCACATACGATGCATTGTTTTCTTTCATAATAAATTGCGTTTTTTCTTGTAAAAAATGCATTAGTGGCATGAAAGTAGTTGTTGAAAACATTAAGAAAGTACTGGGATATTCACAGCGCCAACTGACAGGATTTATATGTTTACAGCACATATTCGCGGCAAGAAAATTACACCAGAAATAGAGTACTACATACAGGTCGGCAGTAGTAAAATTGTTACCGGAGAGTTTACTGTCCCGAATAAGCGCAGATGCGTTGGTTCGAAAAGGTGACTATGTTCGAGTTGGGGGAATGTTATTCGATTGTCTGTGATGACGACTTATCTTCTTTCTCAGGTGTACTGATACCAAACGTATAGCGGTACAGTTCTTAAACAGTGCGTAGGGTTTACTGTATATATTTGCTGCAAGAAAAGTGCATCAAAAATAGAGTACTATTTAAAGAATTTCCTATTTTAATACGACATCCCGGCCGTGTGCCCTGACCTGGGCTCCTTCCTGGCGATCCTGTGTTGAGGGATTCGTTCATTGATTGTTGCCATTCCTTGTTTATGTAATAATAATAATAAAAATAATAATAATAATAAGAATAATAATACTGATAAAAATCTTGATTTATAGAAGGTAACATACAAAGTTTACACAGTAAGACGTATACCTATTTTCAGTACGGCCTTCTGATTTAAAAAATGACAAAGAAAGAAATGCAGATCTAAACAAAATTTAAAATTCTTTTTGTACAAAAAAATGAAATATATTCTGGGATGTAAAGACTAGATATTTTCATTTATTCTTTCGACTGGCACTCATATTAATCATAGTAATTATAGATAAACTTGTTATGATGATATCAGCAGATGTACACCAGTTACAATATAAGGTGGTTAATGTTCATCATGTATCTAACACTGTAAACTTAGCAAAAAATTTTTACAGCTGAAAGATTGTAAAGTCAAACATTGTTTGATAGTAATAGGTTTGTTTGTTTGTTTGTTTCATTTTACGCCTCTTCCCAACAGTATTTCAGTCATATCTTAACAACAACAACAACAACATTTATTAAGCATTAAAAACCTGAAAGGTGCATATAGCCAATATTTACAATCATATACTGATGTGAACTTGAAATAAAGCTAAACAAAAAACAAAACATACAGAATAGTCAGAGAAGTATACACGATATCATCCATCTTTTGATTTCTTAAATTGTTCGCAAAGTATATATATTTGGCAACTTTGTTAACTGTACTTTTACATATAGGCAATTTGTTCCAAACGTAAATACTGAAATAACAAAAAGAATCCTTTAAATAATCAATTCAATTCAATTCAATTCTTTATTCGGCATATGAACATTATATGTTCGTCGCCATTTATCATGGTGACGGCGGTTACAATATTTGAGAAAAGCATGGTTATATATAAACATACATAATCAATTCACATTACACCATGTAAAATTAAGTATGTATACACACCGACTTAGATAGGCCAGTAAGAGGATATTAAGCCTGTGAAATATGCATACACATTTGGATATTCATTTAAACTTATTCTTTAAAATCACCATTTCAGCCACCAACATAAGCCGGTGTATTCAAATACTGGTTTATATGTTTAGTTAAAGCTATGCTACTTCAACAAAGATACTGTATAGTATCAAAAAAATAAAATAGAAATAAGAACGTTATACTTAATGACATATAGATCTAAGGCTAAAACAAAAGGGAGACAATCTGGTTCCATTTATGCATCATATTATAGGAGTAACCTCCCTTAATATACTTTTGTGCTTAACATTTAAAAATTGTAGCAACAATTGTATGTATGCAACAAACATTACTTCAGCATTATTTTATGATTACATCAACTATGTTTCTTACATCAATAACAATACTACTGATCGATAAGACTAGTACGTTTATTACCAGCCAGAAAAAACATATTTAGCAAGTTTACATGACACACCAGATTGACTGCAAGTTAACAGTGCTTGAAATTTCTGAATAGTTGGCCAATGGCAATAATATTTTGGGAGATTAGTATGATATTGCAGACAGACAAGTACAAAATGATACTCGTCTTCTATGACATTCATGTTACAAAATATATATTTCCTTTCCATCCTACTAATGTTTCGATAACGACCCTCTTCTATTGCAAGTTTATGAGCAGAGCACCGGAGTCTAGTTAATGCTATTCTATGCTTATTCACCTTAACACATAACAAATATTTTTCAATATCAAAACATCTTTTTATAACTTTATATGTAGTAAGTTTAGGCATAGTGTCTAAAGTACCAAAAAAATTCTGACAAAATTGACTATATAGACATTCTATTACCTTACTTAATTGTAGGTCAGTAACAGATACATTATTCCATAAATAACTGAAACCCAAATCATCTAGCAGTGATTTAACCCTTAGGGCCCATGAATCTTTCACCAGGTTAAGCTTATCATGCATAAAACATTTATGAATTAATGTATCCGGAGACCTAACAATCTTACACCAATACTTAAGAATTCTTTCTTTTCTTAAGATATCAAGAGGCACTTTACCAAGCTCACCATAGACAGTTGCATTCGTTGTCTGGTATTTAACATTTAAAATTGATTTCAAAAACTTAATATAAACCTTTTCCATATCTGGTGCTTTGTGGAACCCCCAGATCTCACAACCATAATTTAATATTGGCAGTATCATTGAGTCAAATAACTTGAGTTTTTCACTGATACCAAGAGGTACAGCTTCAAATAAAGAATTTAATGTAAACAAAGCTTTTAAAGCCTGTTCTGACAGGGCTTTTTGAGCACCAAAAAATTTACCATTTGCAGACAATGTTACACCTAGATAACAAAATTTACTAACAACATCTAAACGTGTGTTATCATAATATACATCAATATGTTCTTGCCTATTACCTAATTTACAGATCATAACAAATGATTTACTTCTGTTTACAGATATATTCCATTTCATACAGTAAGCATGTAATTTGTTCATTAAAGTTTGTAAACCAACTACAGAATAGGAAAATAAAACTGTATCATCAGCAAAAAGTAACATGAAAACTTGCAAATCGTTTAAGGATATTAAATCAGCATTTATATCAAAAACACTCTTTTCCATATCATTTATAAACAATATGAACAATAGGGGAGATAATGTCTCACCCTGCTTAACTCCATTGTAACTATCAAAATATTCAGTCAATTTACCATTGGAACGGACACATATCTTAACATTATTATACATACTTTTTAACATATTTATAAACTTAGAGGATAAATCATAACTTAACAGTTTATACCAGATACCATTTCTATAAACAAGGTCAAAAGCCTT